AAATATGGAAACTGGCAACCGTGACTTTAAGCACCAAGATGGTTGAAGTGTCATTACTCTGAGGCGCAGCTTATTTAGTGGCTCTAGTCGAAGCACTCAAGGTTTTCTACTTTTTTAAAAATTTCCTAACATTTCACTGTAAAATGTTGGTTGTTTCGGCATCTCGGCAGGTTTCATCATAACGGAACTACTACCTATCTGCACCTTGCTTCAGCTGCTATGAAGTCTAAGAGTGGGGTGGAAACATTACATTTACTGGCAGTTCGAAGTCATTCATATCAATTGTTGCACTTGCAAAGAAACATGCATGGTATTTCAAGGCAGCCAGTTGCGAACAATGTTCAGATTTGTCGTACAGGCAAGGGTGAAACTTTCTACTAGATATGAGAGTTTGCCACCAACACAATAAATCGAGACAGCTTTCAAGGTGAAGCATGTGGCGTTTTGAAAGTGAGATCTACGTCCACTTGCTGCTTCTTTTCTTACAGGCTGTGACGTAGGGAAATCAAACAAGGCTAATGCTCGAGACCACTGTCGAAGCATTAGCCCGAGACGATTTGGAGACTAGAAAAGAAGAGTTATTCACCTACAGTGTAATGCTTCAAAATATTTCCTATTACTAAAGGTTGAAGTGCCCATATACATGGTCTGGCAACGCTCCAACACTATCTGAAACCATCAGGTTCGGCCACACAGTCTAAATTTTCTGAAGCAAGCTTTTCGGCCCCAAAACTTGTTTCAGAAAAAGTTCCACCTACCACTGGTTGTTACAGCTACGTATGAAGAACTGGACCGCATTAGTGGTGTCAAGATTCTGTTTCTACCTCTAAAGCACAAGAAACGAAGGTCCAAACCCTGAGTGGTCTCCTTGGGGCATTGTTTGCAGTCTTAGTTGCTACTCAAAGTAAATCCCCAATCTTTGCTTTTTGTGGAGAACAGCACAGTCCTCTCCTTCAGATCTTTATCTCATTCAGATGTAATCACATATTTACTGCGATGTGAACGTTTCTCTCCTGTTGGCAGAATGCTTAAATGTTAAAATTACTTTTGCAGAGTATGTCACAAAACTTCTGGTCAAGTCTGTGACACTCTGCGAGACGGCGCCGCCCCTTAGAGAAGCTTTCCAGCTTGATGCGGCCACTCCACGACCACCCTGCGTGAGCCATGGCTTCGTCAGGCCAGCAAAGGAAGACCTGGTTGCAGCCAGGGTTAGCTGTTTCGGAAAACGAGCACCAACCATTGCTCAGTAACAGTGGCGAGGTTGATGAGCTGGCTCTATGATGTGGCCATGAGATGCTGCTCCCGCCAGGAACAGCAGCCAGAATTCTGACCGCCGTGCCTGGCGGAAGTGTGTTGAGATTGCGCATACTGTGGTGCTTGTCATAGTGCTGATGCTGGTTATCCTTGTAGGAGGTATTGCTAGCACAGAGGTTAGTGGTGTCCCACTGAGGTTGCCATTCAGCGTGGTTGCTGGCCGAGCTCGTAAGGCGTCTTGAATTGCCTTATCAATCCCTGGCCACCAGAGTATTGACCGAGCTAATGTCTTCGTTCGGTGATATCCTTGTGCATGTCATGAAGTTCTTGGAGGAAGGCGTCTCGTGCTTTCTCGGGAATTATCACTCTCCGCCCCCCCCCCCCCCCCCCCTAACGAATGAGAAAGCCATCCAAGGTGAAGACGTACCTCTGTTGTCAGAAGGGTTGCAGGACTGGGTCCTTTCGTTTCCGAGGCCACCCCTTCCTAATAGTATCTTGAAATAACACCAAGACTGGATCCTTTGTGGTTAGATCTTCGAGCTGCTTCTGGGAAACTGTACCAGCGTCCATTATGTCCAGTGCCTGTACTCCATGCGATCTATTGTTTTCTTATGTAGTCTTGAGCTGGTCGTGGGGTAGTGGTAGGCGCCTTAGTGCATCTGTATTCTAGTTTGCTTGCCCAGGCTTGTACTGACTGTTGTATCTGTATGCTCCAACCGGGAGGGCCCAGCGCTGTGTTCTGGCCGCTGCAGTGGCAGGGGTTGCTCAGCTTTTTCTTAAAAGTCTCACCAAGGGCTCATGGTCAGTTTTGACCGTGAAAGTTCTACTTAGCAGGTAGTCGGACAACTTGGTGACCCCGAAAATCAGTGCCAGGGCTTCTTTCTCAAGTTGAGAATAGTTTTTCTCTGCATTGGTGAGTGTTCTTGACCTGAATCCTATTGGCTTGTTGACTGCGTTGATATTGTTGGACAAAACTGCTCCAACAACCTCTAGGGAATGCGTCACAATCTAGGATCAGTTCCTCTGTGGGGTCATAGTGCACCAGGAGACTTGACCGCAGCAGAGTTTGCTTTGAATTGCTGAAGGCTTCCCTCTTCATTTCAGATTTTGCCGGAGCAGGTTGCAGAGTGGAGCCAGTAGCTGATACATCTGAAGCAAGAACTTCGTGAATCCCAGGAATGAGCGAAGCTCGTGTAAATTCCGTGGTGCTGGGGCTGTCATGATGGCTTCCAGTTTTATTCAGATGGGTGAAGTCCATCTCTGTCTTTATAGTCCACACATGCGAGTACACAACTTGCATGCTCACGTCCAAACGCACAATTGTCTGTCCTTAGGCGGATGCCATTTTCTCTGAATGTTATGAGCATCTTCCGGAGGGTCTTGCCAAACTTCTGGGGTCCCTCTGCCACAAGGATGTCGCCCAAAAAGACGAGTTCCTGGAACGTCGCGCAGGATACTTTCCATGTTTTGCTAGAACAGAGCAGGTGCAGAGGCATTGCCGTACGGGAGGCAATAGTAGCAGTAGAGCCCCTTATGCATGTTGATCACGCACACCTTCCTGGATTCTTCGTCCAGTGCAATGTGGCAGGACCCATCTTGTAGTTCGAGTTTTGAAAACCAGTATCTTCCCTTCAATGATTCAAACATGTCCTCCATCCAAGGAAGTGGGTACTGTTCCAGATCAAACGCAGTGTTGACCGTCGCCTTAAAGTCGCCACAGATGCAGATTCCTCCGTCTTTTTCGGTAATGAGCACTACTGGGGTGGCCCATTCGGCATGAGGTACCAGTGACAGGTTTCCGTTGACCCACAATCTGTCCAGTTCTGCAGCCACCTTGTCCTTCAGTGGGTACGGCAGTGGACGTGCTTTCATGAACTACGGGTCAACATCCTTCTACAAGTTGAGGTGTGCTGGGGAACCCGTCATCAACCCTGTTCCCTCTTCGAACAGATCTTTGAATTCTTCCTTCAATTCATTGACTGTTGCTTCGACACTTGTGTCCGGGGTCTGGAGACTGCAAACGTGCTCTCATGAAAGAAGCTGGAACTTCTGGATTATGTCGCGACCACACAGGAGTGGGCCAAGATAGTCCACTACTTACAGGATCCCGTTTGTCTGTCTGTCACCATACTTCACTGGTAAAAACAAAGCTCCTGCGACATGTAGTTTCCCCAAGTAGCAGAACAAACGTATGTCAATTGGACTGAGTGGAGGCCATGATGCCGCATTCTTGCTGTAGGTCTCCTTCAAGATGACGCACATAGGCGAGCCAGTGTCCAAGAGCATGTCTAGTGTCACCTGGGGAGACTTGTTGATTGGCAGCACAGATGACTGTGCTATGTTCACCGGGTACATATGCTGTGATGGATCGCTTGGCCCTTCAAGGTTGTCACCAGTTGACAATCTGTTTGTGTGAGACAGTTTGGGCCGTAATGTTTTCCGTTGGTGAGCCAGGCAGGCACTTGTCAGGTGTCCCTGTTTCTTGCACTTGAAACATGTTGTCGACTTGTGAGGGCAATTGCGTAGTGTGTCTAGCTGTGCTGTCCCCACAATGTATGCAAGGTCATGCGGAGCTCTTCTGGGGTTTTTGCTCGGGTCCCTTCTGAAAGTGCCCTTTCCTACCCGTGGCTTGCACTAAGCTGACTTCATTCGCCAGCTGCGGAGGTTGGCTGTGACCGTGTTCGGCAGTTGAGTGCCATTCTTTGTAGCCACTTCGGCAGCGCTTGGCATCCCCAATATCTCGCTGAGATCCAAGAACAGCTACTAACATGCCGTTGCTGTGTTCGACAAATCTGTTGCTTGCGGCACGGGTAGGGCCTTCAAACTGCGGAACTCTTGCGACTCAAACTAATTGCCGTGATTTGTTGGGAAATGGTCGGGTGTTCCATATTGATAGAAGCCTTTGTACAAGCGCATGACCACTTCTTATGTCGACATTGACGATACCGCTTGCGGGGTGATGAATGGCAAAATTGATGATAATCAAGATGTACCGAGCAATAATGCTGAACGGTGTATTCGTTGTTGATATCAGGCCCATTCCCCCAACTGATTTTTATGTGACCCTACTGTTTTTTTGGCCTACTGAACATGCTTTGATGTATCTAGATACTGCAGCACTCATTCCAGGCCACCATAGCAATCTTGTACTTTTCTGAGCGTTTGTGTGAAGTCCATGTGACCATTACTATTTCGAGTCAGTTCAAGCACTCCTTGACTCGAACGCCGGAACAACTATGGCATGGCAGGTAGGCGAAACTCGCTTGTCGAGGACATTTTCGACTATCAGAAAGTCTTTACGAAGGGCGGCTTCAAACTGTAAGTGCAAGACCAGGAGAAAGCAAGCAAGAAGGCAAGCGAAGTATAAAGGATGCGAAATCGCTGCTTGGTTTATTGTGTTACAATGACCACAGAAAGTCCCCAAAGGCCAGAAGGAGGGACGGTTACCTTTTTCTTTAGTACTTCTGCTGTCTAGTTCGAGAAATCGGCGGTTTTCGGTACTGTAGTGAAATGGCTGCCAGCCATAAGGCTGAGCATCTGGAATGAAGCCAGTGTTGTATTCCCCACCAATATAAAGTCCGATATCATGTTCACTTGTGGTAAAAAGCTGGCAATGTTTGTAAAACGGTTCTCAATGGGGGAGTGTTTGGGTGGAGACAACTGTAAGACAATGTCTGGATGGCAAAATAAGTAGGTAGGTATGTTCGGCATCGGCCAGAGAGATGACGTTGACAAGGTCTGTGATGTTAGTCAGTAGATTTATCAGCTAAAGGCTGGCTCTCGAGGCACTCGAGGGCAGTCCAGGCAGGCTGGTACTCATCGGGCAGGGCTATTGTCTGAAGATTGTGACTGTTCTCTGGGGCATGCGCATTCTTCTCTTTTTCGTCGGGAGGCTCGCAGTACATTACCTTTCCCGGTATGTGTCCCGTGGTGTTGTCGTACTGGAGCAGTTGCATTTGGAATTGCTGTGGTCGTAGGCTGAGCTCATCAAGTCACTTTGTTCTCATGAAAGGTACCAGTGATTTGTGGTCCATCTCGATCTGAAACTGCAGTCCTAGAATGTATATGCGGAAATAATCACATTCCCGTGTGATCATGAGTGCTTCTTTCTCGATTTGCACATAGCGTTACTCTGCTTCATCCAAAGAGCGCGATGCGTAGGCAATGGGAAGCCCCTTGTAGTAAGACTGCACCGAGTCTGTACGAAAATGCATTCGCTGAAACTGTGAGAGGCTTCTGTGAATTGTAGTGCATTAGAACTGGAACTTTGGCTAGAGCTTCTTTGAGTGTTTCAGAGTTTTCCTACTGGTCGGGTCGGGACGCAGAGAAGGTCCTGCATTAGCTTCGTTGTGTGTGCCAGATCGGTTAAAACTTGGCAAGGTGGGTTGCCATCCCTAGGAAGGATCTCACTTCTCTCACGTCTGATGGTAAGGTAATCTGTGTGGTCTCATCCACCTTTTTGGATCAGGCTTCACACCTTTGCCAAAAACGATGTGTCCTAAGAACTTGACAGTTTCTTGCCGGAACGCGCACTTGTCAATGTTGAGTGTTGTGCCGGCTTTTCTGAGTCTCTGAAAGGCTTTGGCCAGATTCATTCGTAAGCAGTTGGCATCAGTACCCATTCTCTAACGAGATGCTTGCTGAGCTTGCTGTGGTCCATGCAAATGGAAGCGCAGGAGCGCCGGGCAGAGTTTCCATTGTTAGGGTTGCCTAACGGCGGTGGTGATGATTATGATAGTCTCGACAGGTCACCAGTGGTGTAACCAGGTGTGCCTGAGAGAAATGCGACGACCCGCAGATTTCTCTCAGGCACTGCGCCTTGGGTGCAATGTGATCTCTGCCAACTCAATATTTTGTGCAAGAAGGAGGAGGAGGGAGGGAGGGAGCGGCGCTGATGTAAGCTGAGGCCTCCCCCCCCCCCCCCCCCGGCTATGCCCCTGTACATGGCAACACATGTGGTTAAGCAGATGAGCTTCTTGAGAGCTTGTAGCAACTGCTCTTATGGGCCCCAAGTCAATACGGAACTCTTGTAGTGCAGTTTGTGCAGGGGCGTTGTAGCTGCAAGTTTGGGCGGAAAGCAAGCGAGGTGGTGGTTGGCCATACTAAGGGTGCAACGCACACCTGATACATTCTTCAGGGCTTCAAGATACTGGATCACTTGCAGCTTCTTTGAGTCAGGTTTGACCCCGTGCTTGTCAATGGCATGTTTGTGGAATGCAAAGCTTTTTGACACCAAACACATTTTTTTATGACTGAGCGTTGCGCCGGCTGCCTTCAAACACTCCAGCGTATTTTGCAAATCCTGACTGCTTCTTCAGTGTACTTTCGAAAAAATGCACATAGTCCATCACGTTGACAATGTCGGAAGTTCTGCTTGTATTTGCTTCTGAAAGTGTTTGGGAGATGATGTGATGCCAAAAGGTCAGCGCTATCAAACATGCAGCCCGTGGGAATGCGCGTCGCACCAGCATCCCAGAAATGCAGGCATTCACTCTCCGTCTTGAGCGCCACACTGCAATGGTTTCAAGTCATCTGTTCTTCATTCCTCAGGCATATTCAGCATCATGGTGGTTGCCCATAAATACTTCAGTATTGTTTCAAAACAAAACTTTAGTTGATTGATCACCTAATTTTGCAAATTATGCCTTATTCCTTCTACACTGCATATTTGTAGTCTTGATCTTGGTTTCCAGCTGTTTCTCATGTTTAGCACTCACTGGACAATCTCATTTGCCTTCTGAACAGCCAGTGAATATTTGATACAATTCCTATCCTAGGGTGCTGTTATCAAAATTCCCTGGGAAGCAAGCGAAAAGTGTTCTGTCCAGTTTTTCTAAAGAATTGTTGAACTGGACTCTTTCACGAGCTAATTGATTAACAAGGCCACCAACTGTGAGCTTCTACTATATTGAAAAAAGCAAACATGTTCACAGGGTAGCATCGTGCTGGATTTTCTTATCAAATATAGGATCACAGTGCTCGTGTGAAACATTCAAAGTTAAAGATATCCCCGTAAAACAATCGAGTTTGCAAGAGACTTGGAGCACAACATCCCTTCTCCACAGTATCGCAGGTCTGTCGTTGATCTACTCGGCTGCTTGCAAGAAGCCCCACCGTTGGCCTTTTTTTTTTTTACCCTGTACATTTTTTTTCCCGCCGCCTTGGCCTGTGACCCTTATGTCGAAGAGCAAAATTGTTTGTTGGCACGTAGCCACCGATTATTTTGGTATTTTGTCAAGCACAAAGTGCACACAGACAAAGACCATTATTTCAGTTGCAAAATAAAAGCACACTTCCATTGGTTGTGCTGCTTCAATAAACAAATATTGCTGCTGTCAGAATGCTTCGAGCTGGAGTAGGCATGCAAGATAGTGTACAGAACAAGAGCATTCAGCCCAGGTTGAGTTAACATTTTATTCGGGGTCCAGAAACCCTGTATGGGTGTCTGATGGGAACTGCTCCCGGATCCTGCAGACGACGCAGGCTGGCAGGATGCGCCTGTTGTGACGCCCCAACCGTTGCCACATCCACCGAACAAATTGGCGGTAGGCAACGAATCGGAGCCTGCGAAAATGACAAATAACAATGACGGGCAAATTATTACTGGTGTCAATGTTACTGCCCGTTCACACACGAGCAACCGAGTACGACCGAGAGAGACAAGACCGCCTGTCAAGCTTGTTGCGACGTCCTAGGACCGGGTGCACTGCTGCAGGGCTGGTCCCAAGACGTCGTAAGGGGCTTGAAAGCCGGTCTTGTCTCTCTCCCCCTACTCGGTTGCAAGTGAGTGAATGGCGCTTTACTGGCACCGATTATTATTGGTATCAAAGTACAAGTCTAGATGCAGGGTTATACACCTGGTCTGCGTAGGTACAAGATTAAGAAGGTGAGACATATGTGTGCGGGGAAAAATTTAAGTGAAATGCAAGACCACAGAGGACAGTAAGTCATTGGGAGCTCAATATCTACAGGAGCAGATAATTGTATTGCATCTGCTTACAGGAGACATCGGTGCATATAAAATGCTGCATTATTTCATGCTTCTCTGATATCAATGCCCATGTGACATGCAAAATTACCTGTGGTGGCTTGTTACCTTTTACTACCACTTGTAGCGATAATTGTAAGCTATCTACAGGTTCAGATGGCATTCTCAACATTATTGTAAAGGGCTGTCACAAATGCTTTGCCATTGTTCTTCAAAAAGTGTTCAATTCCGATGGCATGGCATCCTTTCAGAAAAAAATGGATATGCTCGATTGTCGCGATTTGAGACCTGCTGTTCTTGTCCCTTTGTCTTCAGTCGTCTCCATTTCAAACACGAGTACAATATCAATATTCTGCTGCATCACTTTTAAAGGATTTTTTAACGTGTTTGGGTAGGCTGTGTATATTAGGGAGACAAATCTGAGCACATTTTTATAATATGTTTGGCCAACTGCTCAGCCTGACGAGTCTACAGTCGGTGACAGCTCATGACTGAAGCGGAACCTCCTCCCACCTCATTCCTCTTCGGTAGAGCGAACGCTGGGGATGAAGTAGCCTCCTCTAGATCATTTGCTCCGCTAAAGTGGAAAGAGGAAGTGGGATGAGCTTCCTCTTCGTTTTTGACTTGTCACCGATTATAGAGTGTTTAATAAGGTTAGCAATGAAATTGTCCGTGCCGAAGCTTGGTAACAATGGGCCGAGCCCTAATTATAATACCTCTTTCAAAAGTGTACATGTGTGTGTGCTAGACTGCAAAGGACTCGGGTTGAATAAAATTGTATGCCAAGCTTCTGCATTTTGTTTTGATCTGTAAACAAGTAGCAACCGAGTTTCCAAAAGCAATATTCAAATGGGGAAACAATAATGTCCCTAAATTATCTGATTTCGGAAATCTTGGGTTGCACTAAATAAGGTAGTGCTGCTTCTGGCCGAAATAATAAAAATAAGAAAAAAATTGGCACCACAACTGGTAGTCGCATCAAGCAAGAACTGATCATCCATCGCTCAAAGGGCCGGCTTTTATTTATGTCAAAATACGACACAGAGAGCATACACGCGAAGCACTAAATTGCACTTTACTCGAATTATTAGCGCCGCTCAACAAACATTTTCACCGTAGGTCGATTCCACGCTCTTCAGTTACGAAAAAACCGGCGACCGAGTGCGCGTGCCTGCGGTGACGCGGTAGGCGTACCAATCAGTGGCAGCTATCTACGGAACGTTGGGACATGAATTACGCACATCGGTTCTCCCTGTGTCGGGGGAATATCTGCATCCTCCAGAGCCCAAAGGGCTACTCGGAGCACGGCGGGCTGGAGGCAGACCAGCGCGAAGTCTGCGTGCTCCGTAATACAGCCCTCCGGCTGTGCTGCCTTCGCAGGTAGGCATTCCCGGCAACACAGGCACTCCTTTGAGGACGGCATAACCTCGCATCTTTTACAAAAGCACCTGTTGTTAGAATAAAGGAGACGTCACACAAAAGTTACATGTAATAGCACAGAAGTTGAGAACTATGACGCTCAGCACTTACCACGCCGTGTTCATGAGACGCCAAGCGTCTGGGTCCGGACTCGGATCGGGCAGAGCCGGCATGTCCTCTTCGTCGACGGACCGCTTTGGACGTTTTGCAGGCGTGCGAGCGTAAGGAGATAATCCTATGGACTCGCTGTGCACGAGCATCTCGCTCTCCAGGTCGCTCAAACCGTCCCTCCACGTCGCCATGTTGAACGAGAGAGAGCCTGCTCTCGCTGTAGCACAATGCTGCTCGTCGGAGGCGCTAAACACAGAACAAAACCGGAAGTTCTGCGGCTCTAAACTGACGTCACGATGCACGTGACCCGGAAAAAGCTGTATGAGTTGAGGAGTTTCACAAACCTCAATTTATTCTAATTTTTTAATATAGGAACGCGCGCACTTGAACAATAACTGTTTTCTGACCTTCCTTTTGCTAGTTACAGAGAGGACCTGCCACACTTATTTGGCCGAAGTCCGAAAATTGTTTCATGGGCCCTTTAAGCTTAAAAAAACACCGTATATATATATATATATATATATATATATATTGCAACTACTCAATGCGCGTTTTTTCCCACAACCTTCACAATAACCTACAGCCAGAGGGCTAGCAAATAAGTGCAACATATACAGCATTTCGTATAAAAAGTCCATGCCCTAGTAAAAATAGAACTCTTTATACTCTTCGCAAGCAACATCATCAATAGACAGAATCGAACTTGAATTCGAACACCCGCAGTGAAAGCAAACGGGGTGCAAATACGAGCGCTAGCACGTAATGGGTACCTTTAGCAGTCATGGGTTCCGCGAAACACACCGCCTAGTTAGGTGGTACCAAGCCGCCACCTGATTTGCAGAACTCGTCTTGTCCACCGATCCACGAGATAAAGCTCCCGATACACTTACGAAGTCCCGTCCCCCCCCCCCCCCCCCCCCCCCCCCCTCTGGCTTCGGTGGGACCTTCGCCTCTGTGTGCGTTCCCGCAATCTGACTGCTCGCTCAGTGACAGGTCGGTTGCGGGACTTCCTTGGGAAAAGCTCGAAGGTCATCCCATGCGCAAAGCACGTGTGCGACAAGGAGCCCCACACGTTCGCCGCGTTCGCCTTCACGCTTCCTGCACACACACACAAGCACACTTCAGAAACGCCCCGAAAAAAAAGCACTGAAAAAGTCAAGCGAATAGGCGAGTACTCACCAAGTAGGCTAAAACCCACAGCTGGTTCCATGGCCCCATGGGCACGGCGGCACCTGGGACACTTTTTGTTTTTCGGAGAACATTCTTCGGTGTTTTCTTTTTTTAAAGCCTAAAGGCCTGAAGCTGAAACCGACCGAAAGTTTGAAGTTTGCTTCGTTTTTGATTTTGGTTACGGTGGCGAGGCGGCGACGTTCGTTGGTTACGACGAAACTCCTTTGACGCAACGTGAATGTTCCTGTTTTAGTCGACATACATTAGAGCATTTAAACGTAAAAAAAAAAATTGTTTTAGCATTTATCTAATTCTTTATAATGAAGTATGTTGGTTGTGTACTAAACTGAAGCTTGGCCTGTCTCAGCTTCATTGTGTACTAAACCGACTAAACTGTAGCATGGCCTGGTTCAGCTTCGTTTTATTTCAACATGTCGGCGACAATTGTATCTGTGCGTGCTCTGTGTCGTGCTCAACCTATTTTCCGTGCATTGGTTGTCCTGTTATCCACCTGCTGCAATCCACATCAGCCGCAAGCATGCTGTCTAAGTATTGTGTGCCCGCCGGAAAGAATATCCAGTCTTCTCGAAAGCAAGGCTGCAACTAGGGCTGCTCGGATCGTGGCTTGGACGTCGTCGGCTTTCACGAACCGTGTCCTCGAGCCTCACGTCGATTGCTTGGTTCCTTTACGTTTCCGGCGATGAATCCCCCAGCCTTGGCCTCATCCCTACAGGACCTATAGCTGGTGAAAAACAATCTACGACAGCGCGGCGTCTTTGGAATGCGATTACTACGATCGGTGGCTCTTAAAATCTCAGTGGCCCCCTTCCAATTGTGAGCTCTGTGTGTGTGTCTGTGTAGGCGTTGTAAAGAGAGCTCTTTTGTGTGAACGCTCTTACCTTCACAGTGTGCAACCTCTTCGAATGGTTATTCAACAGGCGGCGCTGTGAGACGCGAGCCTTCGGCGTTGCTTCAACTCGCAGTGTGATTCTCAAAGTGGACACTTACACTCCCTTCCATACATAGCTACGTGTTTTCGGCACCGATTCCAGGAGCAGGGGGCGCGGCCAGTGACGTCACTGACGTCCAGATTCTATTTGGTGTTCTTTGATATAAACACGTTTTGTTTTGGATGCCGCCGACTGCATATTGAAACGTCGGTCGGCCGGCGAGTGTGTGCGCGTGGTCGGGTCGTCGGCGGCTCGGTGGTGTACTCGCTGGTGTGTGTCGACGTGCCGCCTGTGCTCGTCGCGTATCCAGAAACAGTGTTTTCCAATTTCGTTCGCCCGGCGCCGTCGGTCACTCCTCTTGCAAAAGAAGATTCGTAGTGACTACAGTACCGTCGGACGGCACTTTTGTAGAGCGTTCAAGTGCCCTGCGACGATACTCCACCGACAGTACTCCGCGTTAAGTGCCGTCTGAAGGTCTCGTATAAAATGAATTGTCAAAACATGATTTCCGAAGCAGTAGCGTGGCTTAGCGCTTAAAATGTCTGCCTCAAAAGCGGTCGTGGGTTCGACCCGCAATGGAGACTTACATTTCTTCTTTTCGAACATTTTGTTTTGTTGGGGCATTTGGCGATATTTACAACACTGTTTCTTTAGGACTAACACTGTAAAAAAATGATGTCGACGACAGTGCTAAAAGCACGAGCTAGTTGCTTTGGATCGCGCGGCACGAGCGCTCCTGCAGCGAGTGCAGTCATGCCAGTCAAGGCTACCCGCTCGCCGCTTGCACGGCCTTCGCAGCTATTCTACACTCTTAGAAAAAAGGGTCAGTATAGTCGTCCCTAAAGGGAGGAACGCTCTTGACACATATGTTCCTTCAGAAAGGGAGAAACTTTCGTCCCTTAAGCAGGGGAGGAAAAGTTCCTCCGTCGACTGCATCTCATTATGGCGGCCACGAATCGAGCAAATCGAGCTCGGTAAGGCTTAACGAGAACACTAAGTCTATTGCACGAAGCGAGAGGAGCAGGAAATAAAAACGTAACACGAGCTTTCCGCGAACTGTATTTATTTCCGAAGTTTCTTTACCCCTGCAGGTAAAGAAACTTACGTTTCGAAAGCATGCAGTCACTCAGTCTTCTCATCGTCAGCACTGCGATGTTCAACGGAGACAACCGGCACTCAGTTCGCGCACTTTATGTCCTACCTTTGCTATTCCTCGAGCCACAATTCCTTCGTCAACCGTAGCGTCAACCGCACATCACGGAGGAGTGAAAATCATTCGCCCGCAAAACCAAAAGCCGCTCTCAAAAAAAAGCAAATCCGAAGCAACCTCTTGGCTTATCTCAGCACGGTAACACGAAATTATGGCGTAGCCGCGTAGCGTAAAAGGATGTTAAATGCTTGCCACCAGATGGCAGGGTCAAGCAGAGTAATCGCACGTAGCTAGGCTAGGTGCCGCTAGGTACCGCCCAATTCATGTTTTACAAAAAAATATTTTTATTTTCTTACGCCACAATTGCGTTTCCTTTTCTTCGGAATCTCTAACACATGTAGACACGTTGCGCACACTACAAACATCAGGTCAACATATATTGAACGCATACACAGGCATCGCACATACAAACATCAATACAACAGCACACTACCCCGATCACTACTAGCGAGCCCTGCGTTTCCGTCTTTTATAGTGGTCGTTTTGAACGTGCGGAATTTTTCGGTGACTCCCTAAGCAAAAAAAAATATTCCGAACATGTTCATTTTTTTCCAGCAATGTCATACATCTGAGGCTATTCTTAATGCCTCAGGGGATGAATCTCTTATTAAAAAGAAGACGCTGAATCATGCCATAATTATTTGAAAGCCAATAAATCGAGCCGCTCCAATGTGGTTCCAAGCCATGAGTTTGTTTTCCCGCATGGCCCTTCGTAGCCAGTATTTATATTGTAGTGTTCGTTTTTCTATTTGTGCTGTTCGCGCAAAGCTGCAATTGCCGTCTTGAATTAATCTCTGTAGAGCGGATATCCACTCAGCTGGAAGTGATGCTTCACGGGCACAGAAATCGCTTTTCGATCAACTTGAATGCAGTCAAAGCCGCGACTTCCGACAACTGTTAAGTGTACGGAGCTGCGCCGTTGCGAGCTCGAAAACTTCTAGCGCTCATCCCAGCGCGCCACTTAGAGGGCAGTTTCTACAGGAACCGTAATATATTTAAACAGTAAAATAAAGGATAGCGTTTTTTTTTTTTCGATTTTGCCTGTCTTTTTTTTTATGCTAAACTTCCATTATAAATATACGTACTTTCCGTCATACTTTCGTAGTGTTGTCTTTTCCCCAGAGCGCAATCGCTCTCGGGGACCGACAGTCACATTGGCCACTGTACGATAGGAGCTTACCGTTCAGACCAGCGTTCCAACATGACTATCCACACGTCGATCGACTGCACCTAATCCCTCAAGTGGTTTTAAACTCTTTAATCTAAAGCGGAATGTCATCCTGCGACACTCCGGCCCCTCCGATAACGGCCCGACCAGCGGCATCAATGCCCGACAGTTTACGTCATCTCATCTTGTTACACCACTGATACGCGAACACACGGTCACATCGGCGATAATTCCAGTCTTCTGTTCACAACCCACAACACTGCCATCACGATGTCGCTGACACGAAGAAATACAGAACCACGTTGACGATGTTGCTGACACGCAGAAGAATCACGTTGAACGCCGGTTGGCACTCGGCACGGAAGGCACCCAGGCAGCCGGCAGGAAAACCTGCCTTCCTTGGACGCAGTTCCCGCGATTTCCATAACGTCGAAAACGTCGACACAGTTCCTCGTGGTTTCGCTGCTGTAGTTCCGCGTGTGTCCCGCAAATTGGAGACGGCCGTCCTACCCAGTGTATGTAGCACTGCTGGCACTGCTCCGGAACTTCGCTGTTTCTAGCGGCTTCGTTAGCTCATTTGATAAAATTAGTGGTAAAAACGTCAATGCAACCGAAATGTTCTGCACGTTTGGACTAGAAGACGGAATTACAGGCGGCCTTCGCTGCCGCTGAAGCTCAATCAACTCAACATTA